CACCAATCCGTCAATAAACAACGGAGATGCCAAATTTCCGCCATTTTGAACTTTGACCGGCCGCCATTTTGTCAAAAATGAACATTTTGACCTGCGGTTTGCGCCAAAAATTTTCTTTTTTTATTATCTTTCGAATGAGGTATCACAAAGGGGGGGTTGCCATTTGAAAAAAAAAAGTTAGCCCCCGCCCCCCAAAATTTTGGGGGGACCAAAAAGTTGCTACTTTAGACCGAGGAACATTCCCAAAGTTTCAAACTTCTATCTCAATTTGGAAAAAAGTTACAGGGGTGGTCAGTGACTTTTGGATAACCCTGTATGAGGAAGTATGGAGAGCAAAAGCTCACTTCACACTCACATTCAATGGAAAGTTGTTAAGAATCTGCGACAGTAGATTCACCACGTCGAGGTCACCATGTTAAATTATAAAAGCATTAATTAGCGTATTACCGACGAAACTTATGAATATTTTATTGAGAAAATGAAGTACAATAAAAAAGACTTGCTGAAAGAAAAAAAACAGTCTCATACTGAAAATTAGGTTAGCAGGTATCAGCTGTTACAATTATGCTTTAACAGGCCCCCTAAATGGGGGCGAAAAACCCAAAAACAGGTCAAACCCGTCTACACACAGATGTGCCTACCCTGGAAGATGTCACTGAGTCAAAAAAGTCAAAATCCAAAAAATGGACATCGAACGTTTTTGCAAACATCGATTCAATTGTGGTTACAAGATGGAAAATACTTACTAGCAAAGTTAAAGTATCATTCTCTTCCTTTTCTATTTCACTTGAAATATTTTATTCAGAATACGAAGGATAAACTAATTGGTGATCCTATTCTTACCGTAAAAGATGAGGTAAATGCTTACCGACTCAAGTTTGTTCCATCACCCTAAAAACTAGCTCAAGGGTTGTAGGGGAGTCCTGATTTTTTATAGCTGCTTGATGTAGGAGTGGTATGAGCCCATCATCCAAACGTTTCATATATAAGGGAGGCAATTTTTCATTGCAGCTACCAGCTTCATAGCCGACCTAGAAAAGTAAAGAATAAAATATAGTTCGACTAACAAAGAAACATCTTATTGTTAGCGAAAAATGGGCCATTGATAGTGAGCCATGAGGGTAACAGCCCTCATGGCCCACTTCCCCATTAACGTTATTGAATGAGCTTGTTAAGTAATGTTGGAATGCTAGATTCATATTTCCCGCTTTGATGTAAATCGGTGTTGTACACCGGTGACTCAAGTAGTCATCACCTCTCTGTACTTTCGCTCATCCATTCCTTCTTCATCCGTTGTATTCTTGAATAAACTTTATCCGTGTGAATCGACGACTCTTCTCATTGAAATGAAACCATACAAACTTCCAACATGATCCTCTCCTATCACAATGATGTTGGCGCTCTTGCAAGCTGCAACACCCTATTCAGTGATATCAAGATCTGCATTCTTTCGCATGTACCACCTTACTCCATAGATTAGAAGAGTGCCCTGAATAAGGATATGCTCTTTCTATCGAGTATAAGACATTGACAATCGGTTAATTTTTGGCAAAGTTGTAGCTCATCGAATTTTTTGAAGAAGTTTAATTTTGGATTTTTCAATTTTTCGATGTGGGGGGTCTCACGAAATATTATGAATATGTGTGCAAAAGATAGCCCTAGTTTTCTCCTTTAAAATGAGCTAAAAAAACATGTTGGGGAAATGATTAGTTGCGGAGTTACGCTTTTTCAAAGTTGACGCGACAGGGTCCGTAAATGGGCCTTTGGCCAGAGTCCCGCAGCTGCGCCCGGGAGCACCCTGTTTCACGCTGATCTCCGTAATTTTTTAACATTTTACAACATTTTGACCATTTAGTAAGCATACATATAAGGATGAATATGCCATACACAATATCCCTTCCCTCATTTTTCATTTCATCTAAACCAATTTGGAATTTGGAAACAGCACAGTGGCGATTGGCACAGCGGTGGATCCAGAGTGAGTAGGAGGGGGAGGCATTTGCTGATGTCAAATGGGGGGTCTGGGGGATACCCCTAGAGCAAGGGGGGTCTCCTCCGGAAAATTTTCAAAAAAAATAGCCCCTCCCAGATTGAATTTTAAGCAGTTTCAGCATGGAATCTAAGCATTATTTGAAAGTTGAAAATTGACGAATGGGTAATACCTCTTTTGAAGAAATTTTATTTTGGTATATGGCCTATCTATTTCTGCGGTGTTGAGTAACCTTTGGTTTAGTAAAATTGGTGAAATAGTTCTGAAGCTCTCTCCTGACACCATTTCAATTAATTTTTAGGAGCACTTTCTGTCTCTCTCTTCTTTCGCTCTTCCTCCTTTTTTCTTCCTTTCCCCCTTTTATTGGTCCAAGGGGGGGGGGGTTCCCATCATGCCCACCCTCCTCCATCCGCCACTGGATTGGCATGCTTGTTACTTTCGTCATAAGTGGTTTCTATGATTTGGTAGTATGCATATGATCACTATTTGAAGACGAAAAAGAACTTTGAACATTGATTTTGGGTACCAGAACAAAATACAATGATCAGTAAAAGACAACCATGACAGTAAATATAAAATTAATGTCAAATCCCCTCTTTTCGTAAAAGCTCCCATTCCTTTGAGACATGTCTTTTGGACTTTAGATGAAATAAAAAATGGGGAAAGGGATATTATGTTTGGCATATTCATCCTTATATATATGCTTACTTAATGGTCAAAATGTTGTGTCAAAATATTCATTTTCGCTCGAGTTATCGAGTGGACAAGATTTGACCTCCCCCCACTTTCTAGCCCCACCCCTCAAAATCTATTGCCTCAAATTTCAATTTTTTTTCGCAGAATAGTAGTTCTAATGAGTTTCTACTAAATGCAAAAAAAATGGTCAAAATATCTTTCAACGTAAGAAAGATATAACCACTCAAAAATCGAAAATTCTTCAAAAGGCGGAAATACATACATACATACATATATACATACATACATATATACATACATATATATATATACACATGAATTTGAATGGCATATATTTTCGTGATCTACGACCCGTGATCGGTGCTCTTCACAATGTCTCAGGTCTGGGTCCGACATCATGGGAGAATGCAATAGTGTATTTTCTTCGGAAAATACACTAAAAGGTTCACAGTTACTCAAATCTCCTAAGGAATTTTTTCGTGGTTGGTGTGACCTGCTTCAACGCAAGAAACCAAACATCGAGAGAAAATGTTATAATTGAAAGTTTTGAGCAACCAGTTACACGTCTTTCCCATATTTTATCCCATTAGCTGAAATCCACCCATATGCACTAGAGTGGTCACTTCTCACTTACAAAAAACAGCCACGAATAAACACTTATGACAAACATTGAACAAGAGAGCAAAACTGGATTCAGTAACTGCAGTCCCTAATTTATTTCTAAACCGCAAATGAAGAGCCATAAGACACACCTCAGATGTGTAATCACTTGGTTCAGAACAAAGAAACCTCGAACTGCATGAGATCATATCGGTGAAGTTCGAGAGGTCAAAAGGCTATAATACTAAATAAACGAAGAACTTCTAACTCTTGAATGAATTCAGGATCACATGCTTAAGACAAAGAAACTGCAAAACATTCGATTTGAGGCGAAAATGAAAAGAAAATGGTCAAAAAAAAGAATGTCTGGGTTTGAACATCGGACTTGTAAAACTGATTTTCAGAATGCACTTTAAAATGAGCCAACAAGCCGTAGCTCCAGGTTGTAAAATACGATGTATATTATTGTCAAATGCTTGGTTGAAGTCAAAAATGGATTTAAATTAATTAAAATCAAGAGATTTCGAGTTGTTTGGATCCTTCGTGTTATCAATCTTCGTTTGTTTACGACCCCGACGTTTTGCGGTGCAGTATTCTATGGCAGAGGTACCTCGCCGGCACGCGAGGTCAAAAGTGCGGCCATTGCCGGACGGATAGAATGGGTCGCCATTTTGGAGAGCCCCAGCGGTGCGGCGTTTAAATGGGAGCTCAAAATACGGAAATTTGAACTCGTATTTCGTGGGTTAATATTGCTCAAAAAAATCGGGGAAAATTCCTGTGAACTATGTGCACTCTCTAGTTTTCAAAAATGCAAGAATTACGAATTACTGAACAAGCTCATTGTACCCCTCCAACTATTTGCAGCGCCCTATTTTTGCAGGTACATAGAATTTTCTCATCAGATGCAAAGGAATATCTGCTGCTTTTTCGCAGTAGAGACGGCAATCCATGTGCAAGCAGCACGCGGAAAAACTTTTCCGATACAAAAGCGGCGTTCATCACACTTGCGTCTCCAAAAGCACTTTCAGATACTGCCTCCAAACCCTAAACAAATGCCTGCTGTCTCTACTACGAGAGAGCATCAGGTATCCCCCCGCATCTGCTGAGAAAATCTCTATGTACCGCCAAAAAAAGAGGCGGCTGGTAAATTTTTCTAGGGTCTGAAAGTAGGTAACTGGAAGTGCCTTAGGGGACAAGAGAACGAGAAACGCCGTTGTTGCGTCGGAAAAGTTTAACCACGTGCTCCATGCACTTGGTTTAAGGGAGGGATTCTAAGCCCATTGATCTTTCTGCGATCAATTTTAATTAAATATTAGAGCTCAGCTTTGAGCAAGAACATTGTAGAAACCGTACTTAAGATTCCACAAGAATGCTGATTATCAGCAATGCATCGCAGTTTTAAAAGCATAATGAAGCGTATAATGAATCAAGTTTGTTGCGGTTTCTTATTTTTATCATAACGACCTGAATAAATTTTTTATTCCATTTATTTCGTCTCAAGAGAGTAAGAAAGGTTTTTACGAAATTAACAATATTCGTGCAAATTGTGAGAAGAATGGTAAAAAAAAACTGCGCATGAATGCAGACCGACGCGAGGTTGCACGGCGTATAAGAGGACGCTTGACTAAAATTGCCCCCACTTGTTTTCTATTCGTCACAAAAAAAGGTTATAGTATCGTTTTGAAGGTCAGAGAACTCTCCATCCACTTCAAGAGAATAATGAGCTCTGTACGATTTCGCCTGTATCTTCTAACTAATAAAAGGGAAACATTGATCACTCACTCACTCACTCATCCATCACGCTCGCCTCCCTGCTCCCACCGGTCGGAATCGGTGCAAACTTAGCCGTTCGACGGGTACTGTCCCCGAGGGGTGCAATAAGCTCGCTTTTCGCGATCCGCCCGTCCGTTCGCGAGTAACCGCGGTCGGAAGTCGCGGATATTCCCGTAAGCCCGTGTGTGTTGGAAAGAGAGACGTAGCAGTACGGGTATATTTCCTGTCGCGGCCGTTGCCGGGTGGCCGTCGGATACCGTGAGCTGTGCGTGTAATTGGCCCTTGATTCCCGCTGTTCTATGCCATGAATGGCAACACTGCGGGCCTTTCTATGTTTCATCCGATTATCAGGTGATAAAAGTTTTTGAGCTTTCTTACGTTTCCATAGTTATTTTCCATGGATCGCAGCTCACATCCATTCTATGCAGGGGTCGAGAGGGAATTGAAATTAATTTGATCGCCCTCTGAGTTCGCGAACGACCAAGCGTCGCTTTTCGATCGCGATGCTCGATCAAGAGGCCAGAGCAGGTAAAAGAATTTCGGATCCCGAATCCCGAACTCAGAGGCGAATGGCGAATTATTGTTCTCGTTCGAAGAACGAGCGGCAATAGCGCGGGCCAACTGGTTAGTTCCCGAGATGGGATATAATTTCTGGCCGCATTGGCATCCCCTCGTAAGACAGGAGGGAATTAAAACCCGATCTCGATTGCCTTCCTCGAAAGACGCACACGGGGCTTCCGATCGAATTGATCTGGATCGGCTGCATTTTTGCCCGCAAAGGCACTGGACTTTACCCCCGGATTCTTTCCTCTACTGCTATTCCGCACACGCTGGACCGCGACAGCCGGACACTCCTTCCTTTCACTATGGCATTGTGATCATGCGTTCTCCCCTTTTACTTTCGTCCTCTACCCTGGCTATTATTCGCCTGTCATGTTTCGTGCGTAAACTGTGGGCTTGTCGCTTTCTGAC